CGCGCTACGTGCAGCGAACTATATGGTGGCCCCTAAAAAAAAAAAAAAAAAAAAAAAAAAAAAACGGTCCTGGAACAGGACCTGCTCTGAAACCATGTCAAAGTATTGAACGGGAATGAATGAACTAGGAAAAAAGTGGGTACAAATACTAACCCAAATTTGGTTGTACCCCTTTGGGTACACTACAGCCTACACAACCTAAACATTATAAAAGTTTGACAGTATCGACTACCGAGCATTTAACAGGGTAACAGTCTGTCAGAAATAGGAAAGAATGAATGAAATAGAGAAGAGGAATTGCACTAGCAGGCAGTTGAGTACATATAGGAAACCCTAATTTGGGCTATACTCGCTATAGAGTACCCCACTGCAGGCTAGACAAATATTACATTCTGACACACCCCCATAGTCAAAGTGGGGTATAATCAGCACAGCAAGCAGTCATAGAGCAGGTTCACAAGTACAAGCAAAGTTAGAGGCATTCACAAAGGGCAAGTGAGGAGGAGGCGGGACTGTGAGAGGAGTGGAGATAGGAGGCGACGGATGAAGCCGCAGACATACGGGCAACAGGAGCGGCGTGCACGGTGGCTACCGGAGCAAGGGCCCCGAACTACAGGAGTAACTGGCTCTGCGGCTAACTCCGAACGGCAGGAGAAACGGGCCCACGGGCAACTGGCGCAGCAGGCTCGCTGGGCTACCGGAGATTGTAGCCTCCGGACTACTGGCGCTGCTGGCGACACGACGGCTACCTCCCCAACCTCCCCCAACTGTCCCACCCCCCTTTTCACACACCCCCTGCTGCACCCCTAGCTCCAATCCCGTGTCAGCCCCCTAGCGCCACTCCCTCGGCTCCCACACATCCACCCCCCTCAGCGGCAGCTGCAGCAGTGGGAGACGGAGGAGGAGGAGGAGCAGGGGACGGCTCACACACCCGCCACCCCCATACCCGCCACCCCCACACCCCAAACGCAGGCGGCGTGGGGCAGAAACGCGGGCAGCAGTTGGGGCGGCGTGCGAGCAGAAGCGGGGCAGCGCGCGGGCCCCCGGGGCGCCGCGACGGGCGACGGGAGGGGGCGACGCGCGGGCCCCCAGGGCGCCGCGACGGGCGACGGGAGGGGGGGCGACGCGCGGGCCCCCAGGGCACCGCGACGGGCGACGGGTAGGGCACCGCGCGGGCCCCCGGGGCGCCGCGACGGGCGACGGGAGGGGGGGCGACGCCCGGGCCCCCAGGGCACCGCGACGGGCGACGGGTAGGGCAGCGCACGGGCCCCTAGGGCGCCGCGACGGGCGACGGGAGGGGGGGCGACGCGCAGGCCCCCAGGGCGCCACGACGGGCGACGGGTAGGGCAGCGCGCGGGCCCCCGGGGCGCCACGACGGCGAGCAGGAAACCGCCACGCGCCCCGAGCGCGTGGCGGGCAGAAAACCGCCGCGCGCCACGAGCGCGCGGCGGGAAGAAAAAACGCCGCACGCGCCAGGCTCGCGGCAGGCAGAGAACGTCGCGCGCCCGGGGCGCGCGACAGGCAGGACAGCAGCAGAAGCAGCAGGGTGGGCCCATCCACAGGATCGACCCGCGAGGGTCGACCTGCTCTGATAGCATGTCAGAAATCGTAGGCAGAAGGTTAGAACAGAGAAGAGGAATTGCACTAGCAGGCAGTTGAGTATATATAGGAAACCCTAATTTGGGCTATACTTGCTATAGAGTACCCCACTGCAGGCTAGACAAATATTACATTCTGACACAGTCAAGCCGCGATATCCCATCCTTCGCGCCGACGAACTGATAGATCAACTGCGAACAACACGATTTTTTTTCGAAAATCGACTGACGGGGATGTTACCACCAGATTAGGGTCGAACCATCGGACTGCGCCAAGACAGCTTTTAGAACTAGATACGGGTCATTCGAGTACACCGTGATGTCTTTTGGGCTAACCAACGCATCGGCGACATTTCAGATGACCATGAACGAGGCGATTAGGCCACTTTTAGATAAATGCGTGATAGTTTACATCGACGACATCCTGGTCTAAAGTCGCGACAATCAGCAGCACTTAGCAGATCTGGAAGCAGTGTATAAAGTTTTTGACGAGCACTGACTACTGACCAAGGGTCCAAGTGCGAGTTTTTTCAGGACTGGTTAGAATTTCTAGGGCACATTATTTCGGAGGCTGGAGTTGAGATCGACCCGAAACAAATAGACACTGTGAAAGCGTGGCACCCCCCGACGAATATTACGGAGCTGTAGAGTGTTTTAGGGTTCGTTAATTATGTGCGTCGGTTCGTCCCCGACATGGCACGATTAACTTCCCCGCTGACAGATTTGCTGCAAAAGGGGGTCATTTTTACGTGGGGGGGGAAAGGGTATGCTGCCTTCTCTGCCCTGAAAATTGTTCTCTGTTCACCGCCCGTCCTGTGCATCGCCGACCCACACCGCCCATTCGAAGTAGTTACAGACGCAAGCGTCATCGCCATCGGAGCCGTACTGCTACAGGATTTCGGCAACGGCTTACAGCCCATCGCATACGAAACACGAAAACTGCATCCGCGCGAGAAATATTTCCCGATACACGACCGTGAAATGCTCGCGATCGTGCACGCGTTCAAGGTCTGGCGCTGTTACTTGACCGGCGCAGACGTGACAGTACGGACAGACCACAAATCACTACAGTAACTCCGCGCACAGCCCCATCTCAACCCACGACAGGTCCGTTGGCTCGACTTCCTCGAGTCCAACTTTCACTACACGGTCACCTACAAAAAAGGAGCATCGAACATCGCCGACGCACTGACCCGCCCACTGCCCAAATACACGCTATACTCCTCGCCCAGACCAGCCCACTGCTTACAGGCCTATTTACCCACGGCTACCAGACAGAACCATTCTTCACCGGAGGAAATTCGCAGCAGATCGCAACAGTAAAGGGGGTTTATTACGTAAAAGCCGGCACCGACCGCATCTGGGTACCGGGCTACACGTTATTACGGGAATTACTGCGACAGGAGGCACATGACGGAGTTACCTCATGACATTTCGGAGTAGAGAAAAAACGGCAGCAGCTGCAGCGATATAACTACTGGCCCGAGATGCTGACCGACGTGCAGCGACACGTGGCATCGTGTCCCACCTGCCAGCTCATGAAGTCGTCACGACAGCGACCGGCAGGACAGTTGCAGCCGATACCACCCCCAGAGCGTGCTTGCCAGCAGGTGACGATGGACTTCGTCACGGGGTTACCGGCAGGAGCAGGTGGGAACGACGCGATCCTGGTCGTCGTCAATCGGCAGACGAAGATGGCACATTTCGCAGCCTGCAAAAAATCAATCACAGCCGAAGAAACAGCCCGACTATTCATCTCCACCGTCGCTCGACTGCACGGGATACCGGCGACAATCATTAGCGATTGTGACACGAAGTTCACCAGAAAATTCTGGAGGAACCTGTGGCAGCAGTTCGGCACACGACTACAGTTTAGCTCATCGTACCACCTCGAAACCGGACAGACAGAACGGACAAATCAAACTATGGAGCAGTCAATACGAGCCACGTGCGTCGACCCGGCAACATGGGAACAGCAGCTGCCACTCATCGAATTTGCATACAACAACTCAACGTCAGCCACGACGCAGCACTCACCATTTTACCTCAACTACGGACAGAACCCAACAGTGCCCATGACCCCGAATCCCGACAACCCGGTACCACACGCGCAGCAGTTCGCAGAAATTTTACAGGCAGCACGGACCCGGGCAGCAGACGCCATAAAAAAATCAAACATCATTGCTAAGCGTAACGCCGATCGCCACCGCCGCCCAGTCACTTACCATCCCGACGACCTCGTACTCCTCGACACCCAAAATCTCCGCCTGCCCAGAACCCCGAAACTCCACCCCCAATATTGTGGGCCATTCCGCATCAACCACATGTTCACGCCCGTCACCGCCCACCTCCTCCTCCCTGCTGACTGGTACGTCAGCCCGTCGTTCCACGTTAGATTACTCCGCCCATACGTCCCCTCCACCAGCCAACTGCCTCGCAACCGCCCCGCCAGCATGACACGACGACCAACAGAGCCAATCATCACACATGAAAAAAAATATTGAGCCACCGAGTTCGTGACCCACGTGGAGCTCGCAGGATTGAGTTCCTGATTCGCTGGAAGGACCGCACGCCCGCCGAGGACAACTGGGTGCCCCTGGACAAAATTGAAAGTCACTCCGTCCTCACCCGGTATCTCCACAGCCGCAACTTTCGAGATGTACACGCACTCTCGTAAGGAGGGCCTCCTTTGGAGAGGGGGGTAGTGTAAGGAAAATTCCCTTTCCTTACTCCGCGCCCCTCCTTACCGCGTACACGACTGTTCCCGCCACAAGCACCCATCCATAAAACGTTACCCGCTCGCGAAACTCGCCTCGACCACCGTCCCCGCCACTGTACACCTTGCGACCCAACCTCACGGTTCTGTTGGTAACCCGCGCTCCGGACCTCCGCCTCGACATTTCCCAACCTCGGCGCTAGGCCCGTAGCGCACCCCAATTTTTCGCGTTACCGTCACCACGCTAGCTTCGCTATATATTCTTCGCCCATGCCTTCACTCGATGTATTGTTTTGCTTAGATAGTGCAATTCTCGCTCGCTCACTCAATTGCACTCGTAACAGCGGGTAACGTTTTACTGTAGGGTGCTGTTGGCGGGAACGGTCGTGTACGCGTCAAGCAGGGCGCGAATTAAAACCAGGGTCTCATGTACGGGTTGGCCGTGCAACTGCAAAGCACTTGGACAAAAAGTGGGTTCTTTTGCAAGTCTCGATTGGACTAAACTTTGGCCCAAATTTTTACACCAATCAGACAGGCCCTTTTTCCATCGACTGGAAAGCACTTGGTCTACTTGAGACCCTGGCTTTAAGGAAAATGGATTTTCCTTACAAGTAGGTGATGAACGGAATGAACAAGAGGGTCTCGTACATTGTAGGGTTCGGCTTCAATCGAGAGGCTCCGTCTTTATGAAATCGGACCGAACCTGCATTTTGGAGAGTTCTGAGGTATGGGGTGCGGTATAGCCCCGTAAGAAACTGATTACCTCACACTACTTTCGCCAAACCCTTTGGGTATTGACCGAAAGGTTTCAAGAAGAACACGCCCTGAAAGCGCCGAATGCTGATCTAATCGCCAGCGCATCCAACCACTCACCATCAATCAACCAAGTAGCCGAAAGAAAAAAACTCACTTGTACACTACGACTCATAGCAGACGGCCCCCCCAATGCTGTACAATCGGTAGAGGCAGCAAGGGAACTTCTGCGCATGTCCGTTCAAGCTCCGCCTCCCGACAGACGCATCACGGCGAACTCTGAGTGATTCCTCATGGAGACGCGATTGTGTTTTTTGTTGGCGGCAGCGCTGTTAGTCGTCCTCGCGCATCTCCCGTCGTCCTCAGCTACCCCTGGCGTCACTAGCCTCGAGCACGCACTCTCGCTCTCCAGAGTACGTTCTGCACCGCATTTCGCTCCCCCGATTTCCAGTTCTCCGCTCTCCACTCCTCCGTTCCTCAATTCCCCGCTCCCCAATTTCCGGCTCCCCAGTTCCCCGCTTCCCAATCCCCCGCTCCCCAATTCCCCGCTCCCTGGTTCACCCCGCTCTCCCCGTCTCCCTCTCTGTCGCGCCCACCCTGCCGCCTTTTCTCGTGCCTGCGACTCGCCCCAGTCCTCTCGTGCGCTTGCCGCGTCCCGCGCGGCATCCGCGCTCGCCCGCGCCATTTTCCTGCGAATTCACTGCCTGTTCCGCGCCTGCGTTTCCGCATGTCCCCCGCATTCGTCTCCGCGGCTCTCCTTGCTTCCGCGGCCCTCTCCCCCGCCCCCTTCCCCGCGTTCGCTGCCGCCACCACTTCCGCGGTGTGCTCTCGCATTGCCCCGCCGATGCTGATTGCGCAGGCGCTCCACGTGCTAGCGCGCGCACCCCCTTCCCCATCGCCCGACGCCTCCCCTCGATCTCCTCCCCTTTTCCCCCTCATCCCCCTCATCCCCCTCAACCCCTCTTCCTTCGTCCCCCCTCCCCCCGCGTCCCCCCTTCCCCCTTTGTTCGCCCTCCCCTCTCGTCCCCCCTCTCCCCTCCCCCTTTCCCCCTCGTCTCTCCCGCGCAGCAATGGGAGGCGGTATACGGGCTCTCCCCCGACTCCCCCACGCCCCCCGCCAACCTCTCCTTCCCCGCGCACGTGCCCCCCGCGCCCCACCTGGACGACTGCGCCAACCGCACGCACTGGCGCTGGCACGTGGAGCAGCGCGGCGCCGACTCCTCTCCCCCCGACTGGACTACACCCTCCGCCTGCTGCGGCTGCGCACCCCAACCGCCCTGGGTGCGTGGGTGGGTGGGTGGGTGGGTGGGTGGGTGGGTGGGTGGGTGGGTGGGTGGGTGGGTGGGTGGGTGGGTGGGTGGGTGGGTGGGTGGGTGGGTGGGTGGGTGGGTGGGTGGGTGAAGAAGTGTTGGGTGATGGGGGTTTGGAGGCGAGAAGCAGAGACGGTGGCAGGGAGGAAGGGAGGCATGTAATTTACCCACCCACCCACCAGACGGGATAGGTTGCTGATGATCAAACCTGCTGCTTGCAGCGGCTGGACCAATTTATTCCCGTGCACCTGATGTGCACCAGGCGCGCCTGTTGTTTCAGGCCTCCCCGTGACTGTTTTATTAGTAGTAGCGTAAAGCATGACCTTACCTGTGATTCCTTGCACTTCCACCGCTCCACCCGTCCGCTCCACCCGTCCGTCCCCTCCCCTTTCTTCCCCAATCATCCCCCCCCATCCGGTTTAACCCCAAACCTTTCAACCTTTTCGCTTTCTTCCATTCCGCCCCACCACCTCAGGTTCGAGGCACAGACGCGGGCAATCTAGCGCTGACACGTGTGGCGCAGAGGGACATCTGGGCGAGCCAGTTCCCACCCGCCAACTGCAGTGGACGGCGACTGCTAGTGGCTCCGTGGCCTCATGCGGCCACGCACCCCATAGGAGCACAGCTGCTGGTGGCGACGGCGTATCTGAGCATGGCGATGCACCACAACCGCACGCTCGTCATGCTCCCTGGCTCCTTCTCCCGCGCCAACCACTCCGCCTGCAAAGGTGGGCCGGGGTAGGGTGCGGCGTGGGAGGGCATGGAGGAAGCAGAAGGCTGGGGCAGAAACTTGCATTGCATTGGGATTTATAAGTTGGCCTGGTCTCGCGTCTTGCATGATTGTTATTTGCTGCTGCTCTGCTCTCTCTCCTCCCTCCCTCTACACCCCTCCCTTCCCCCCCGCTGTTTCACCTCAGCTGTAGGGCAGGAGGGGTCGTTCGACTGCTACTTCCTGCCCATGACCGCTCAGGCGTGCACTGACAGGGCTGTTGCTGCCATGGCCGCCACGGCCGCAGCAGCACAGGGTGCAGCGGTAGGTGCAGCAGCAGGAGCAGCAGAAGTAGGTGCAGCGCCGGCAGCAGCACCCGCGGCAGCAGGGGCGGGGGTGGAGGAGGTGGTGGTGGTGGCGGAGGGTGGGAGCAAGGCGGCAGTGCTGGCATCGGAGCAGGCAGTGGTGTTGCTCAATGATACCTCTGACCGCGACCACTGCGATGCCGTCAGGTGCGTGCGCTGCCCACGCACTCACACCCCTGTCAAGCATGCCAGCCACATACTGCTGCTGTGCTGTGATGTACTGTGGTGATGTGTGGTGATGAAGAGTTTCTGCCTGGAGTGGTTGAGATGTGTGTGTCTGTGCGTGTAGGGACTGACATCCTGTCCTGCTGCTGTGTGTCCCACTCACTCACTCACTCAACTCCACCCGTTCACAGGCTGTGGGGCTCGCCGCATTGCAACCGTCCAAGTGTGGTGGAGCTGGCAGGGAAGATGCACCCCCTCAACGAGCCTCAGCTTAAGGTCTGCTCTCCTCTCACCGCCTTGCTCTCTCCGCCTCTCATTTGTACAGCTGTAGTCGATATGTTTCCTTTATTCTCCATCTTTCTTCACCCTTCCACCACCCACCACCACGCACACCCATCCCTCTGCGGCTATCCTAAGACGTGCAAACTCTTAACGTTTTTAGGTTCGCCATCCCACTCCTCCGTTCCCTCACCTTGGTTTCACCGTTCACCTTCCCATCCAACCGTCCATCACCACGCGCACCCCTCCCCCACCCTGTCCCCACCACCCCCATCAGCTGCGCTGGTGGCAGGCCCAAGCCCTCCGCTTCCTGCTGCGCTGGCCCTCCTTGCACCTGTGCCAAACCATCAACCGCATGCGCCACTCGTCCTACGGCCTCTCAGTCGCCTCCCAGGTCGCAGCAGTCACCACGCAGCGTGCAGCCATCATCGCAGCACTAGCGAGCAACAACGTGCACCCGGCGTACGCGTCCATGCGCATGAACGGCAGCGACGAGGCCAAGTTCCTCCAGTCCTTCAACTTCTCGCATTCCCAGAGCCTCGAGGCCGACGTGTGGCCGGGCGAGGGCTTTGAGGGGTGCTACCAGTACAAGGGCCCGGGGCCGGCACGGGTGGACAGGGTGTATGAGGCGGTGGGGCGGGAGGTGTTCATGATGCGCCCTGTGGTGGGGCTGCATGTGCGCCAGGTGGAGGACGCGGGCAGCAAGGCAAGCGTGCGGTCGCTGGCGGGGTTCATGTTCTCGCTGTATGGCATGCGCAAGCACGTGCCCTCGCTCTCCCACGTGTGGCTCAGCTCCAGACTGCAGGTGCGGTGATGGGGGTGACTGGGGGCAGTGGCTGGGTGAGCACTCGTTTGGTACGTTGGCGAGACAAGACGGTGCAGGATGGGGAGGTGAGGTAAGGGATGGGGTGGGAAGGGATGGGGTGGAAAGGGATGGGATGGGATGGGATGGGATGGGAAGGGATGAGAAGGGATGGGATCTTCTACTTTACAACCATTCACAATCTCACTCCACCTCACTCTACCACTCCGTCACTCCTCACCCTGCATCTCACATACATCCTCCAGCGCCTGTGCACCTTCTTGCCACCTAAACTCTCCATCAATCCAAATCCTGCACCACCCTATCCACACACCGTGCCCATGCGCCCGTCAGCTGGACATAGAGCACTCGAAGCAATTCTCCGACTGGAACTTCCTGCACTCAGACCACCCGCGGCAGAGCGCCCCGCAGGCAGTAACGGAGTACGAGAAGCAGGTGGGGCTGCAGGTGAGCGTGGGGGCGAGCCTGGCAAACCTGCTGGTGGCGGCGGAGAGTGACTACTTTGTGGGCACGCTCAACTCCGACTGGAGCCGCCTCATTGACGCGCTCAGAAGCACCAATGGCCGCCTCTTTGCTGGCTTTGTGGCTGTGGAGGAGTGGTGACGGCGGTAGCTCTTTGTTGGTGAAACTGTTAAGGGCACTCACCGTGTTTACATGCGTATGAAAGCCTATGGACTTTGAAGCTGTAAAAAAATGTGTTGTGACATTATAATGTAAGGAAATGCTTGCCACTTTCTGCGTCTGCAACACCAGTACTTGACACCTTCTGATTCTGGATATGATTCACACCCACTGGGTGTGACATTACAACCCCTTAGGAAGGGGTATGTACGTACTAGTGCACATTACCAGATGCCATTACAATACTTTAACCCATTTCTTGCATGATTCTTGAAGTGCGAGCACAGGGTGTTGCATACACGGGAGTACAGCAGAAACAGTACCCAGACCGGTTTCACGAGACAAATCCAGAGTACAAGCGGCCGTTAGTTGACCTGAGTGCATGAACAACACGGTTCCAGGTAGAATTCAGTGCTCCAGCAAGGTAATCACACTCTGATGCAATGAGCAGCGAGGAGAAGGTAGCTGCAGTTGAATCATGGCCTTGAAGAGCCGTGTCCGTGGGGTGGAGAAAGGACCAGGGGGATCGCAGATGCTGGGTGACATAGCTCAAGTGCTGACTTGACAGAGTACCCTGCAAGGGTGTGCCGAGTGGATTGTGAAGTGAGGGTGGACAGTGCATGGCAGTAAATTGCTTGACAATGAAAAAACGAACAGGAACGCAGGTGCACTGAGCACTGAAAGGCAAGGGAAGGCATTGGCGAATAAGTGTTTGCACCGAGAGTGCGGAATAAGAGGAAAGATGGTTGGGCGGTCGAAGGTATACAAGAAAGAAGAGGAGACGTAGGAAGAGAGAAAGATATCAACACACGACACAACACACAACACAGCACAACACAACACAGCACAACACAAGGCAACACACAATACAGCACAACACAAGACAACGCACAACACAGCACAACACAAGACAACACACAACACAGCACAACACAAGACAACACACGACACAGCACAACACAAGGCAACACACAACACACCACAACACAAGACAACACACAACACAGCACAACACAAGGCAACACACAACACAGCACAACACAAGGCAACACACAACACAGCACAACACAAGACAACACACAGCACAGCACAACACAAGACAACACACAACACAGCACAACACAAGACAACACACGACACAGCACAACACAAGACAACACACAACACAGCACAACACAAGGCAGCACACAACACAGCACAACACAAGACAACGCACAACACAGCACAACACAAGACAACACACAACACAGCACAACACAAGACAACACACGACACAGCACAACACAAGGCAACACACAACACACCACAACACAAGACAACACACAACACAGCACAACACAAGGCAACACACAACACAGCACAACACAAGGCAACACACAACACAGCACAACACAAGGCAACACACAACACAGCACAACACAAGACAACACACAGCACAGCACAACACAAGACAACACACAACACAGCACAACACAAGACAACACACGACACAGCACAACACAAGACAACACACAACACAGCACAACACAAGGCAGCACACAACACAGCACAACACAAGACAACGCACAACACAGCACAACACAAGACAACACACAACACAGCACAACACACAACACAAGACAAGACAATACACAGCACACACCACAACACACAACACAACACAACACAACACACAACACACACCACACACCACACGGCACACACCACACAACACAACACAACACAAACACACAACACAACACACAGCACAACACACAACACAACACACAACGCACAACACACAACACACACCACACACCACACACCACACAACACAAACACACAACACAACACAACACAACACAACACAACACAACACAACACAACACAACACAACACACAACACACACCGCACAAGACACACCACACACCACACACCACACACCACACACGTCACACCCCATGCCACACTCCACACCACACACACCAAAAACACACACCACACAGCACACACCACACTCATGCGCACGTGCACGTGCGCACGCACACACACATACACACATGCACGCTCGCACGAGGTTGTGTGCTGCGGGGGGGCACACATCCCCTCCACTCCCACCACCCCCACTCCCCCACAATTACACCCATCCAACCCTCACCCACCTGCCCACACACCTCACCCCCACCCAACCACACGCAATTTTACTCAGCCTCCAACGCCTTCCACCCCCGCTCTCCCCCGTCCCATTACACACCCCCACATGCCAGCTTGTCCGCAGAGTGCCAGGAGTATTCGACCCAGACATCTGTTCCCTCCCCCCACGCACACCCGCACTTACCAGGTGCTGTGCGGAGAGCCATACCCCTTTTCCCTCCCGCCCAGCACAGCCGCACACATGAGCTAATCTGTGGACAGCCGCACTTACCAGCTGTTCTGCAGATAGACAGCCGAAATTTGAGCCAAAGCCTCTTCCCTCCCCCCAAACGCACCTGCCCTTACGAGGTGGTGTGTGGGGAGGCGCACTTACGAGGTGGTCGGTGGAGAGCCAGGCGAATGTGAGCGCGGGGTCGAGGTGGCGCAGGCGGTAGGCCAGCGAGAGCAGCGGCAGCAGCGCATCCGCCTGGTCGCCCACCTGCTGCTCCACATGCATGCTCACCACCGGCCGTGGCATGCCCACCTCCCTGCCCACCCTCTCGTACGTCACCAGCGCCCGCGGCTTCTCCTCGGGCACATCCTCCTCCTCACCAGACTCACCTCCTGCATCGCCTTTCCCACGCACCCCTCCACCTCCACCGCCATCACTCCCCTCACTCCCCTCACTCCCCTCACTCCCCTCACTCCCCTCACTCTCCCCTCTCACGCCACCCCCCAGCTCCACGGCAGCGCTACGAGCACAGGCAGAGTACCCCAGCACAGGCCACACGTCCGTTTCCAAGTTGCGGGGCTTGGAGAAGTCAAGTGCAGACAGCAGCTTGGCCTCGGATCGGATGTCGATGCCCAGGTGCTGGTGCGCGTCCGAGAATGGCGACCACAGCGCCGCCAGGATGGCCTGCTGCTCCGCCACTTGCGCTGCTGCGAGCACTGCGGTTTGCAGCCCGTACGCGGAGTGGCGCATGCGGTTGGTGGCGTGGCACAGCAGCGCGGAGGGCCAGCGCAGCAGGAAGCGCAGGGCTTGGGCCTGCCACCAGTAGGCCTGGGGGACGAGGGGGAGTGGGAGGAATGGGGTTGAAGGGGTGGGGGAGAAGGGAGGAAGGAATGATAAGGGCTGAGAAAGGCGCCTGCCACCAGTAAGCCTGGGGGACGGGGGGGGAGGTTAGGAGGGGGGAAAGGGAGGAAGGAATGATGAGGGCTGCAAAGCGTGCAGCTGAAGGCGAGAAGCATCTGAGGAAGAAAAGGTTTGCACTGCGAGATGCTTTGAACGAGTGCTTTGCGTGGGGCTTGAGGAGACTGGGTGCGCTGTAAGGCTTGTACTAGCGATCTGCCACTACGCCACCTTCTGCAGGTGAGCCAATTTGCAGGGATTCCCATGCGATCTGTGATCATGCCATGCCATGGCACGGCACGGCATTGCATGGCAGGGCACGGCATGGGATGGCAGGGCACGGCATGGGATGGCATGGCACGGCATGGGTCACCTGCATGTGCTCCTCAGTGGCGTTGACCATGACGCCCCTCTCCTCCACCAGGTAAGGCCGCTGCTTGTATGCATCCCCCCATGCCCTGCCAGTAGGCATGGCAGCATGAGGACTTACGAGGAGCCTCAACGGGTTAGTGAGGAAGCAACAAGAGGATTGCAGGTGAGCAATGGTGGGAGAGGCGAGTACCACACTTGCCTCCACACACACACACACACACACACACACACACACACACACACACACACACACACACACACACACACGAGTTAATAGCATGCCTGCAGTAAAACACTATGCACAGGGCCGTGGAGTGTGCAACCCAAGGGTGGATGCACGGGTGTACCTGGCAGCAGCGGAGTGGGGGCGAGAGGAGGGGTGGAGGGTGGCGTGGGCACAGACGAGGGAGTCGTTGGAGGCAACGGCATCAGCGAGGTGGGAGAGCGGGCGGCAGGGGGGCGAGGCGGCAGCGCGGTACTGCTGCATGGCTGCTGCCTCACAGGCAGGCGACACGGAGCGGAAGAAGTAGCAGTGCAACGACCCCGACTCGTTCACCGCTGTGGGAGGGGGAGGGCATGAGGGGGATGAGGGGGACGGATTCACGCAGGAAATGGAGGTGCGGGTGTTGAGAAGTGCATGAGTGTGGGTTGGGAGTGTGAAAGCAGGCCGATCCTATGTTGGAATGTACATGCATTATGCATAATACGATTTCCCACTATACGCTCTGGTACATGCGCAGAGCACTTGATTTCCGAGCTCCAATACGCTCGGAATGCAGAGAATAGGGCTTGGACAAACAAGCTTCAAACAGCGGCAAAAGAAACGAGACGGTAAGGGTGCAGACGCTGTGAGTAAGGCAAGCGTAAGGCTGAAATCCCAGACCCACGCGGACCTTGCCGCGGTGTTTAGGCGCGTCTTATAAGGTTTCCGTGTATACTTTGTCACACGCACATGATGCACTTTAGCGCTAGAGCGTCTACTTTCCAAGAAAGCGCCGATCAGTCAGGTAGAGGGGAAGAGAATCGATCATGGAGGTGAGGTGACACGCGCATGAACGGAGCAATGTGGGAGGGTAGCAAGAGGTGCGGTGCTGCATGTTGAGGCTGGAAAGGAGGTGACCAGATGGGGTTGAAGAGACGTAAAGTGAAGCATCTCACTATAATATTCACATTGCTTCGTGCATAACAAGAGGGGGGAAGGGAAAGGATGGGATTGGGAGGAAAGGAAGGGGAGAAGAGCAACAGGTTATGTGGCATTGAATGTGGTGGGAGAGAAGCACTTGCGAGTGCAGATTAAAAGGCTGGCAGGAGCGGCAGTCTGAGAATCTCTGAGCATAGACAAGTTCCGGATAATGGGTTTGTCAGGCAACGAAACACTTGACAAAGCATTTCTTGCAACGCCTGCATGATGGGTGGCTCAAGAGTAATACTAATGTCAGAACTTTGTGGGCAGGTTATGACGTAGGTGGACTGAGCGTGGCAGGCTGCCACTGGCAGCACACTTTCCACCTGTGGGCGTGGCGTGGTGAGTGTGGCATGGAGTGGGCGGACTGACCGTGGCAGTGGGGGTGGTTGGCGGGGAGGAAGGAGCCTGGCATGGGCACCAGCACGCGTTGGCTGCTCACCGCCACACTCAGCGCCCCTGCCATCGCCGCCACCTGCTCTGCCACCTCCGACGCACTCCATGCCCTCCTCCCAACACCGCTCCCACCGCCGGCGCCGTGAGCATCCCGGAGTGGGAGGTCTGGGTGCGGCCAGTGCACGAGCAGCAGGCGGCGGCCCTCACATGGGCCGGGGGGGAACTGGTGCGCCCACAGGTCCCTATGCACCTCCCGCGTGCTCCCCAGATTCGCCGCGTCTGCTCCTCGCACCTGCCGTGCACACAGGCAGGGAGGAAGGCAGGCAGGCAATCGCGGTGCAGGGCGCAGAGGAAGGGGGAAGACGAAGAGGGGCAGAGAGGGAGCGGAGGCATTAGTGCGGCGGGAGAGGGGCATTACGGAGTGGTGGGGTGATGAGAGGAAGTTACACAGTGGTGCGGGTAGGAAGAGGAGGGGCAGATGGAGGAAGAATGGGAAGGAGAAAAGGGAGGATTGATGCCGCAAGTGCAGCAACAGGGAAAAACGGGAGGCACGCCGCGCCTCGCATGGAGACACGAGGTGAGCCAGGCAAGGGCTGGTGACAGGGCACATGGTTGGATGGCACACGTTCACAGCGGCGTGCAAGGGGCCTTGTGCTTCATCGTTTCAGGTTTGAGACCTGTAGTGAAGCCACCACCACATGGCACAGCTTCTCCTTTTGTTTGTACCTCTGATCGGACCTGTTAGCCACAGCGCTCCATACCAGCTCCAGGCCCATGCCACTGCCTGCATGCCACCTCACACCGTCCCAGCCCGTCCCAGCCCGCCCCAGTGCCACCCAGTGCCCCCCAGTGCCCCCCAGTGCCCCCCACTGCCCCCCAGTGTGCCTCACAGCACAGCAAGTGCAACACATTAATGGAAGGCCTGCCAGCGGCTCACCCATGGGGGCTGCGGCACATTGCCACACGCAGCAGTCGCCCGCGCCCACTCCGGTGCTTCCCCCTCCACCTCCTCCTCCCCCTTTCCCCCTTCCGCGCCCGTCCCTCCCCCCCCTGTGCGCTCGGTGGCGAGGCGGAAGGCAGTGCGCGCGGCGCAGTCCTCCAGGTGGGGCGGGGGGGGGAGCGATGCGCGCATGGTGATGGTGGACGGGGGGAGGGGCGAGTCGAGCGCGAAGAGCTGCGCCCATGCCTCGTACAGCTCCGCGGACGTGGGGCTGCGGTCGTGGGGGAAAGGGGAGCGGGGGGGAGAATTGCAGGGGGGGCATGCGGGAAGAGGGGTAAGATAAAGGTTAGGGAAACGGAGGGGAGAAAGGGGAAAACGGATGGAAGAAAGGGGGATGGGGAAGGAGGAAGGGGAAAGGGGGGAGGGGGAAGAAGAAAGGTGGGGAGAAGGGAGAAAGGGGAAGGAGAAACGGGGAAGGGAGGATGCGAGCGTCAGGAATCGTTAAAGTGTGAGGGTGACGGAGGTGTAAGGAGCTATTGCGCAAAGAGCAAGTTCCTCTGAGTGAGGTGAAACAGGAGGGACGAGGAGAAGGGGGGGTGATGGGGGAGGTGAGTGGGGAAGAGAGGGGAGAGGTGGGGGACAGAGGGGAGCTGAAGAGGGGTGAGGGGGGCCGGTTGAGGGAAAGGCGATGCTAAATGGGGCAGACGGGAAAGAATGAAAGAGAACGAGGGTAAGCGAAGAGTATACTACGAAAGGAATGCACCTCCGCTCGTCCTGCAGAGCTGCGCTGTGCGACTGCGCTATGGTTGAATCACCGAATTCCAACGAGAACTGCGCCACAGGATCGGCCCCAACCCGCATCCGCACCCATACCACGCCCAGCGCGCACCGAACAACCGCATGTGTGCGTCCACCGCTACTCTCGTCCGTGCACCCACCGGGAAGACGAGGACGCGGACATGCCGGAGATGACAGTGGGCTGTAGTAGCAGCGCGCGCCACTGCACCATGATCGCCAGCACCACCACCAGCGCAACCACGAGCAGCAGCGCGGGCACGCTGCGCTTGGTCGCCGCCCCGCGGAACAGCGCGTGCGCGGCGAAGGGGAGGGCGCACCAATGCCGGCCTCCCCTCGCAGCTCCCATGGTGCGCGCGGCGCGCCTACCGCGACGGAGAGTCGAGGCGAGGAGTTGCGATCAGGGACTGCAGCGCGCTGCGGGGCTTGTGAAGGATCACACCTCCTGGCTAAAGGCGGGATCCGATAGCCATGCAACGCGCGATTCTTCTTAGACAGTGTACGTTTCTCTGCTCTCCCCTCCCAACAACGACCGCCCCACCACCCCCCCCGTTCCCCTGTTCTGTGGATAGGTTGCTAGAAGGGCTGGATTCGGCAGCTTTCCGGATATTTCAGGGCTTGTTTCGGGCCAGCAAGCCTCGTAAGTACTGGGCCCAGACCAATCGACAGCCCTTCTCGAGTCTCGACAGGGCACAGGGCCTGGTACTGTACAGCACACCACTTAGCTGGTTGCGTGGGGGCCGTTTTGAGGCGCCTCAAAACTGCATTCTAGCTCGCGTCTGACATCAGGTCATCGTGGACGTAGAGGCTCGGAAGATCCGAAGTGGCTCGGAATAGGGGCAAATCAACATTTGGAAGAGACAAATCAGAGACTAAGGGCCGATGACCTGATGTCAGACACGAGCTAGGAATTGACCCTAATTGTAGATCTATTTTTTGTTGCTTGGAAACTTGGGTGTAGCTTATCGAAGCTTTTGGTGAGCTCGCGACATTCAAGTTTGCGAAGTACGGTAACTTTCCTTAGTGTTCGCGTGATTGTTATGAGACGAAACTTGATTGCTGATCCCAGTTTGTTTCTGCTCCAAGGAGATCTGGGCTGATTCTGAGCCATAACTTGTCGTGTATTTTTCCCGAAGTCTTCTTACAATATCCCTCCTCCCTCGCGTAGCAACCATTCGATAGGGATTATCTCGATGGCACGGCACCAGCAGCAGCAGCGGCAGCCGCCACGGCACCAGGTAGCTGGAAAGGCGCACTCACCAGGCGCGGTGTGGGTGCGCTTCGCGGTGACGTCAGCGGCCATGTGGGTGCTGCCCATCGCCGTGCTCTTCGCCGTCCAGCAAGACCTCTCCTTCCTCCAGCGTAAACCCTCCCCTCCATCGCCGCAACCGCCTCTCTCTCTCGCGCGCGCGCTTCACAGCGGCGACCAGGCGCCTCAACCACCCTCAACTCAGTGCTTTCTCGCCCCGCAGTGCTATATATCTAACTCAGCGGTCTCTGCTTCCGACTTCCTAGCCTCGCTCTCCATGCTCCAATCCCCTCTGCACTCGCCCGTCCCCTCTCGCCCCCCTCACCCCCCCCTCCCCCCCCCCTCCCTTCCCCCCCGCAGAATTTGTCCCCTCGTCCGTCTGGTCCGTCCTCACCCGTTCCGACCCGTCGGCGCCGCCGGTGGACGCGACGTTGTGGGCGGGGCTGGCGGCGGTGCTGAGCGTGAACGCCGTGATCGCCGTGTACATCATCCTCGCGCTGCGCGACTCCCCTGTCGCCCACCAGCCCCACCCCGACCCCGCCTTTGTCGCCGCTGCTGCACGCCGCCAGCAGGAAATCGCTGGGTTGGGGGGCGAAGGGGAGGAGGGAGACGGAGGGGACCGTGGGAGTGGTGGAAAGGGGGTTGGCGGTGGTAAGAATGGTGCTGGGCTGCGGAAGAGGAGGGAGGATATGACGGCAGGGGAAGCAGAGGCAGAGGCGATGGCAGCAGCGGCTAGGGTTAGTGGGACAGGCCAGCGGAGGGCAGTGGAGAGGAAGGGGAAGAAGCACAGCTGATGTGTTCTGGTGATGTTGGTGGGTGTGGGACAGCAATTTGTGTGGTTGGTCGTTTGGCACATTTGGTTGGTTGCTGTCATAGTTTTCCAGTGTGTGGTGTGTGTGTGTGTTTATCAAGTGCTGTAGCCATGGTGCATACATAACGTTGTGTGCAGCATAGAGATCTTTCTGAAATGTGAAAGTGGTTGCAACGAACCAGTTTATCGGCAGGATTTGAAGTTTTCCTCTCTTGTATGGCTACCGTAAAGTTGTGGATTACCGTACAATCTGTGTAAGAAATGGGCATTGAGGAGGCGTGGGGAGGAGGGACAGGGTTGGTTTGGTTCGTGGCCTGTAGCTACAGTATTCTCCCTGTGTTGTCTGACTACGTGCCATCTCATGTCTTCTTTCTTGGGCTTTGGCTGAGCCCTAAAAGGGTGTTCTACAGAAGCTACGTACAAGAAGTACCAGTGTTGTAATGGCTTCACTGCTGCAAGACCTCTTGCTGCAGAGCCTGTCACATTTCTAATCCATAGTACCATAACATATTTGGGTGTACCGTATATACAAAGTATGTACGGTAGCTACAGAGTGGGATGGGAATGCACAAACCTAATTCCATACTCCAGCATCCAGTACAACATGTTTCCACCACATCCTTTCCCATCCAACCAACCACGCCTCTGGCCCTGTACACCCGTAAACCTCCTACACACACATACCACCACATGCACAGGAAAAAAACATTCTCCCTGGCCAGCACGTCTCACTGCCCAACACCTGTGCGCTTGTGCCAGTCCGCCAGGCTCTCCTCCGGGTACCCCTGAAAGCTCTTGTCCGTGGGGCCCACACTCGCCTGCACCCAGGCGGGCTTGGAGTTGAGCATCAGGTGTGTGCGCTCGGGAGGGGGGGGCAGGGGCGAGTCAATGGCAGAGGCGTACGGGTGGATGAGGTCGGGCCACCTGGGGTCGTACAGCCACAGGTGCGACCCACACTCGCGGCAGAACCGCCGCTGCGCACCGCTCTCAGTTACCTTGGGGGAAGGCAGGGGGGAGTAGGCACAAGGCACAGCATGTCAAATATGCTTGTATACATTTTGTATAACTGCCTACAGTAGTGTAGTGTAGATAGCATTTGTATCAGTTGGTGGTGCACCCTCTCTCTCACCTATATGTTCACAACATTCTATAGTGAAACCCCTCCATTCTCGCTATCCTTTGGCACAACCCACTCGATACCCTCCTTGCCTAGGCTCCTAAGCCTAGGCATCCTAAACCTAAGTACCTCCTTAACTTTGAGATGATATCAGAGCAGGTCCGTTCTTAAGGACCTCGTTAATTTTCTTTCGCCATGGCTGCCCTCGTTGCCATGGCGATCGTTGCAGCGCCCTTCGAGGCGCTCGCCCGGTGCCTGCCCCGCACTGCTCGCCCCGTGCTACCCGCCCCACGCGCTGGTCGCCCCGTCCCGCGCACTGTCGCGTCGCCCCGCCGCTGGTCGCGGACGCCAGCGCCAGCGCCTCCGACCGTCGCGAACGCCAGCGCCAGCGCCAGCGACGTGCGCCAGCGCCAGCGACTGTCGCGAGCGCCAGCACCAGCGCCAGCGCCAGCGCCGGTCACCAGCGCCACCGCCAGCGTCAGCGCCAGCGACATGCGCGAGCACCGGTCGCGAGCGCCAGCACCAGCAGCAGCCGCCTGCGACCCCGCCATCGCCACCCCGCTCCCCGCCTCCGCGCCTGCTGCCGCCCTCTTCTACGGGGGACATTGCGGGGGGGAGGTGGCAGGGCTCGCGCCCGCGGCTACGGGGGTACTTAAGCCCCCTTGAGCCCTCCCGCCCCTCCCTAATCCTCCTCCTCATCGCTGCCCGTGCATGTGCGGTGCGTGCCGCGTTGTGGGGGGGGGGAAGAGGGTATGGGGGTGGCGGGTATGTGACGGTAGCCGCCCCCCCTTCTCCTCCTCCTTCCGCTGCACTTCCTCTCATCCTCCTTCCGCTGCACCCTCTCCTCACTCCGGCAGCCGCCTCTCCACTCCTCCTCCTCTCCTCACTCCAGCAGCTGCCTCTCCACTCCTCCTCTCCTCACTCCAGCAGCCGCCTCTCCACTCCTCCTCCTTGCTTGCGTCAGCTCCAGCCGTACTGCCTTGTGGGGGAGAGGTTTGGGGGGGGTGGGGGGTGCCGTGAAGCCAGTAGCGCCAGTCGCCAGTGAGCCCGTTGCTCCAGTCGCCCGTGGGTCAGTTGCTCTAGCCGTACGAGCGGAATGCTCCAGGCGTACGAGCCCGTTACCCCAGTTGCCCGTGAGCCAGTAGCTCCAGTTGCCAGTGAGCTAACAACTTCAGCCGCTGCCAACCTCCTCTCTCTCTCTCTCCTCCTCCTCGCTTGTCCTCTCCTCCTTCCGCTGCTCTCTACCTTGGTGCACCCCTGCAGGGAGTGTTGTCTGCACGTGGTTTCTACTGTGGGCAGTTAGGGGGTGTGTCAAATATGTTTGTATACATTTTGTATAACTGCCTACAGTAGTGTAGTGTAGATAGCATTTGTATCAGTTGGTGGTGCACCCTCTCTCTCACCTATATGTTCACAACATTCTATAGTGAAACCCCTCCATTCTCGCTATCCTTTGGCACAACCCACTCGATACCCTCCTTGCCTAGGCTCCTAAGCCTAGGCATCCTAAACCTAAGTACCTCCTTAACTTTGAGACAGCAGCAATGGATTTGGGAAAAGCAGGATCATGGTGGTAGAATTGATTCTGCAAGTCAGGTTCCTTCCCTTCGTTATCAGTTGTACCTTCCTTACATTCACCCCATCCCTCTCTCCCACGCAACCACCACGCCCGGCCATCCCCATGTGCCCTCACCTCGCCCGTGTCCCCCCTCATCTTGGCCCGGTACGTGGCCAGGTGCTCCTCCCCCTGCACCTGCATCGTCCTCGCATCGCCGCCTATGTTGATGCCAAACCCGCCCGACCCACCCACCTTGCGGCAGATGCTGCAGTAGCATAGCTGGAAGAAGGGAGGGTGTGGGTAGGGGGGTGGGTGGGGGGGGGTCGGTAAGGGGGAGGGGGGGAAGGGGAGGAGTTGGGGGGGGGGGAGAGAGGGAAGGTGTGGGGGAAGAGGAAGGAAGGTTGGGGTAAATTGGGATAAGGGTGAAGAGGGGATGATGGTGGAGATCAGGGATGTACAATCTGTGAGCTCAAATCAACTGCCGCTTTCACCTAGTCGCCATACAAGGAACGAGGTGGTACGCCATGAGTCGGAGGGGAAGGAAGAGAGGAAGCGAGCGTACTACGAGCGTGAGAGACTGTGCGTTGTAACATCTCTCACCAAAACCACCGTGCTCGAACCAGCGTGATAATAAAGAAGAACTAACGAGATTTATAATCACTAATCAAGGAATCGCGTCAACCTCTCGAAGGTTACGCGAGAGAATTGAAGGGGCGAGCGCATGTCGACGATGCCACCGACAATTCTAAACACACTGAATCGGTGACGAATTAGTGTATAAATGCTCCTCATTAGCACCTGGTATGGGCATGGGCTGCTAGACTCCAAAGAGAACGTCACGGCGCGGCAATGGCAAGAACCTTCTAGGCGCATGGTGCGACACGAGGAAGGACGAGAAAGTTTGCCTTAGTGATATTGAACCTGAGGTGTGCAATGTGACAGAGCCCGAAGGAATCCGACGCGCGCGCGAAAGAGCGTGGCGGTCAATGCATTGCATTCCCTCCTAATTTGTGGAAAACGACGTTGTGTGCAAGCTATGGACAGCCCCGGGTCTTTTATCGGGAACGGGGTCTTCTTTTTAGCAGGGCTATATTTTATGGAGAAAATAATACTTTATGAGATTCAGACATGTTACCCCCTCCCTGTTTCCTCAAGAGTACCGGTACCGTATGTGATCTCCGCATGAGTTTGTGTTCGTCTACGCTGATTACAGACTGTGATGTGAAGTAGTACACACCAGATACGGTATGCCATACATGGCAGTGGTACATATACGGTAGAAAATCTACAATTTACATGGCTCGTAGCACAGGCTAGAAGAACGGTAGAGGCTCACCCCTACCCCAGATCCTAAAGTCTCCACCCAATTCCCTCTCCCACAACTTCCACCCAACTTCTCCTGATACCTCTGCATCACATATTTGACATGCGGTACTGATCCCACTCCCACCCATGGGATTGAAACTGCTACTAGAGATCTTTCTTGCTCTTGGATGCAAACTTGCGGTCAAAGACAGCGAGCTGGGCGCGCAGGCTCTCATTCTCATCCAGCAGCCGGTCGTACTCTAGCTGCAGCCCCTCCGTCTGCTTGCGAATGGCCGCCACGTTCGTCTCCGCTGCCCTCGTGCGCCCCTGCCACGACTCCACCTCCTCCTGTGTCAAGCAAAACAGCACCGCATGTACACTACCTTGTCAACCCACCGAGTCGTGCATACAGCACTACGCTACACAGCAACCTGCAGTACATCTGGCACACAAACAGCCTCAAAACGGTCCACACTCCACAAGCATTCACTCACAGCATAAACCATCCACCAAGCACCTGACACTCACTCCACCGCTCACCTCCTTGTGCCGAATCTCCTTCTCCAGGCGTGCAATGCTGTCCTTGAGCCCCCGCGCCTTCTTCACCGCCTCCTCCTCCACGCCGCGCTCGCCCGAGCGCTCGTTGGCGAGGCGCATGTACTCGTCCTGCAGCCCCTGCGCCTGCTTCTTCAGCGTCGCGATGCTCAGCGCCGCCACCTCGCCCTCGCGGATGCTGCCCGCCAGCTGCCCTATCACCAGCCCCAGCAGCAGCCCGTAGCCTGGCAGGGCGGAAGGGTGAGAGTATGGGCGGGTGGGTGGGAGTGCGGGGCCACACACACTGCTGCCGCACACATCTCTAGCATACACACTTCTGCCACTGGTCTACCCTTGTCCATGCGCATAGCAGTGCAAACTGAATCTGTTTCTTGAGACTTCTCAACAAACAGATTTAGCAGTGCATGTCTCACCTGAGCATTTTTTTTCGTGAAACTAGGCTATGCTGATCGACTTAGTCACGTCTAGCTGCCTGATGCCTTTTATTTGCGTATTTCCAAACCAGCGTAACAAGTATTCATGCTCGCAAACCAACGCTTGGGCGGCAATGACACCCGCTATCACGCTTGGGCGGCAATCAGTCCTCAGGCGAGCAGCAAGCAGGTCCCTATAGGCCCACGCGAGAAGGCAGTAATTCGTGAATTGGCATCGCCTTCTGAGGCAGCAAGGAGACGTCAACTACACACGTCAGTCATGGACGTGCGCTAACACTGAGCCACGAATCGTTCACCTGGCACGTCTTCCACGCGAATCCACTGCTCTCTGCCTGTACTCGCAACTGATCACTCGAGCTTAATCACATACACACGAAATTTGCCCTTTACACCCGCTCCGTCCATCAACCCGCAGCGAACCCATCTGTACAATCCCCCCTCACACAGCCCGCCCCCACCTCCCCCTCCCCTTCCCCCCCCCCCACCCCACAGCGCACCCAGCAGCATCTCCTGCACGGCGGCCTGCAGCAGCTCCACCCGCGCCTCGTGGAAGCCGCCGCCGCCCGCACCCGACGCGAACATGCCGGCCGCCGTCGGATCCGACAGACGCTGCTGCAGCTGCCACAGCTGCGCGCCGCCGACTAGCAGCAGCACGAGCAGCAGCGCGGCCACCGTCGAGACGACGACGCGCATCGCGGCGCCCTTGAAGAAACCGACGAGCATCACAGGGATTCGGCGAACGGGCCGCCATGGTACGGCTAATAACAGCGCGATAATAGTTTCCGCTGCCAGCAACGCGAGTAACGGTGGAGTCAGCATGGTGGAACGTATGGACGGGATCTGACGCGTGGTGAAGAAAGAAAGATCAAGGCATGCAGACTCCTTGGGAGAATAAATCCTTCACTTTCGGTAGTATGTCGGATGAACAGAACATGCACTATATTGAGACCAGGCAACTGTCATCTGATGCATTCACCACAAGCTTGCCTCCTCCGTGACTACTGGTGACACACGCACGTACACTGCAATGCATCCATCCGGAAAGACAAACAAAGAATTAATTTATTACCAGAATAGTTATGATTAATATCAATAAGAAGAATAATGAAAAAATGCCCTAATGAATTTGGTTAACCTATTACCCTGGATATAAGCGCACATGCACTTCTAATAAAGATGGGACGCGCTTCTAATCGATCCAACTTTATAAACGCATGTGCATTTGAATTGACAAATATGATGTGTGGTATATAAATATATATACAAGATGAAAGCTATATTTTATTGCAAACACGACCGAAAAAACATCACGTAGGCGCGTGGATTGTTACCGCTAAATCGCTTCTATACATCCTCCCTGCCAGCGTTGAGTAGGAGCTTGCTTTGTGGCCCAATCACAAAGTCATTCGCAGCCGGGTTGGGGATTTCGTTACCGACATTCTACAACAGGGCGAATATTTCTTGCCGCAACAGAATCCGTGCCACGCATGCTCCTCCATAGGTTTAGGCGAGGATTTCATATTGATCATTGACGAGGGGTCCGAGTCGCATCGCAGACGAGGTCTATTCTCGTGGCCCAAGTGTGCATCATATCTTGATTCTTCTAGTTATTCTCTCTCCCTCCTGCCTCGCTGCGGAAGCCATGGCGAAATTGCCAAGCACACACTTTCTTTTCAGACGCCCTCTTAGAGCTGCACTTACAGTTACCAATGACGGGTGGTTTAGCCGTGTGGCACCTGAGCCACCACTACGACCAGCACCACTTGCACACCTTGCCCTTCTTGCTCATCCTGTGCCTCCCACCCAGGGCCCTAGATATCAGCCTTTTAACGCTGATTCAGCGTTAGATCTGGCTTTTTTTTTTACCACTAGGCTGAATCCAAAGTTTTTTGTTATGTACTGTTACGAGTGCAATTGAGAGAGCGAGCGAGAATTGCACTATCGAAGCAAAACAATACATTGAGCGAAGGCATGAGCGAAGAATATATAGCGAAGCTAGCGTGGTAACGGTAACATGAGAAAATGGGGTGCGCTACGGGCCTAGCGCCGAGGTTTGGGAAATGTCGAGGCAGAGGTCCGGAGCGCGGGTTACCAACGGAACCGTGAGGTTGGGTCGCATCGTGAACAGTGGAAGGAGTCGTAATCGAGGCGAGTGTCGCGAGTGGGTAACGTTTCACTGTTGGGTGTTGATGGCGGGAATGGTCTTGTACGCGGTAAGCAGGGACACGAAGTAAGGAAAATGAATTTTCCTTACACTACCCCCCTCCCCCAAGGAGGCCCTCCTTACGAGAGCGCGTGTACATCTCGAAAGTTTCGGCTGCGCAGATACTCAGTGAGGACAGGGTGGTTCTCAATTCTATCCAGGGGAACCCAGTTGTCTTCGGTGGGCGTGCGGTCTTTCCAGCGGATCAGAAATTCGATCCTGCGGGCTCCCCGTGGGTCACGTACTCGGTGACTCAGTATTTTTTCGGGCGTGATGATTGGCTCTGTCGGCGTGTCAGATTTATATGACATAGCTACTGTAGGCTATAGTGGGGTAGCACATATGGGGTACAGTTTTCCTAGGGTTTGCATTTTGTACCCAACTTTCCCTTAGTCATTTCATTCCTCGTTTCTTCTCATGGTATCGAGCAGGTTCCCTAGTGGGAACGATTCCTAGGGCCCACCACCACGAAATTTTTTTCCTGCCCGGAGCGCGCTTCGCTCCGGCCCGAGTCGCGCCCTGTGTGCTCTCCCTACCGTCGCGCCCTCGCTATGCCCCTCACGGCCCCGTCGCGTCGCCCTTAGCGGCCCTCTCCCGGCTCGTCGCGCCGCCCCTACGGCCCTTCGCGCCGCCCTTACGGCCCTTCGTGCCGCCCTTACGGCCCGTCGCGCCCGTCGCGCCGCCCTTACGGCCCCTCGTGCCGCCCCTTACGGCCCCTCGCACCGTCCCTTACGGCCCCTCGCGCGGCCCCTTACGCCCCTTACGGCCCCTCCCGCGGCCCCTCACGGCCCCCTACGGCTCGTCGCCGCCCTCCGCGGCCCCGCAACCTACCTGTGCGGCCCCGCCACCTACCTGTGCGGCCCCGCCCCCTACCTGCGGCCCCGCCACCTACCAGCGGCCCCGCCACCTACCCGCGGCCCCGCCACCTCCCTGTGCGGCCCCGCCACCTTCCTGCTGGCCCCGCCACCTACCTGCGGCCCCGCCACCTACCAGCGGCCCCGCCACCTACCTGCGGCCCCGCCACCTACTAGCGGCCCCGCCACCTACCTTTGCGGCCCCGCCGCCTCCACTCAGCGGCCCCGCCGCCTCCTCCCAGCGGCCCCGGACGCCGCCCTCTCAGAGCGGCCCCGCCGAGCCGCCCAGCAGCCAAGCCGCCCAGCCGCCGAGCCGCCCAGCAGCCGAGCCGCCCAGAAGCCGAGCCGCCGAGCCGCCCAACAGCCGAGCCGCCGAGCCGCCCAGCAGCCGAGCCGCCGAGCCGCCCAGCAGCCGAGCCGCCGAGCCGCCCAGCAGCCGAGCCGCCGAGCCGCCCTGCAGCCGAACCACCCGAGCCGCCCTGTCCGGTAAGAGCAGCGCCTCTTTCACAGCACTGCCCTCACCCTACTGTTTGCGCTGCTAGTCTACTGCTGTCATGGCTACCCCTAGTGTCCTCGCTTTTGACGCTGAGGGTCGGGCCATTGACTTTGACGTCTGGATAGATGACCTGCAGCTTTTCTTACAGTGCGACAGAGCAGACGGCCTCTCCCTCTTTGACCTCACTTCTGGTGCCTCTCCTGCCCCCACTGCTGATGCTGACGCCACTGTTCGCTCACAGTGGGCCACGCGCGATGCTGCTGCACGTCTTGCTGTGCGTCGCCACCTGCCTACCTCTGAGCGTGCGCACTTTAGCCAGTACAAGAGTGCTCAGACCTTGTACGACGCTGTAGTTGCGCGCTACTCCTCCCCTGCCACTGCTGCACTGAGCCGCCTCATGCTACCGTACCTCTTCCCTGACCTTGCTGCCTTTCCCACAGTCGCTGACCTCATTACGCACCTCCGCACTAGTGACACTCGCTACCGCGCTGCGCTTCCTGCTGAGTTCTGCGCCAAGAACCCCCCCCCCATGTACATCACCCTCTACTACATAGTCACCCGGCTCCCTGACTCCCTTCGCGTAGTCAGGGACCACTTCCTCTCAGTTTGCCCCACCACTCTCACCGTTGACCTCCTCGAGAAGTCCCTCCTAGCAGCAGAGAAGAGCATAGTAGCTGTAGGAGCCTCTCGTGGTGACCCTCGCACCCCCATCTTTGAGGGGTGTTCCCCCTCCCCCCTTTTGCCCTCTGTTGCCTCTACTGCTGCGGCCGACCTCGTTGGGCTTGAGTCGGTCGGTGCGGCGTCTACCCCTAGCGGGAGACGCCGCCCTGGCAAGGGCAAAGGGGGCAGGGGCACTGGAGGAGCTAGCGGGGGCGGTGGAGGCGGCGGTGGAGGCAGTGGAGGGGGTGGGGGTGGCAGTGGGGGTGGTGGTGGGGGTGGAGGTGTCGGTGGCGGCGGTGGAGGCGGAGGCGGCGGCGGCGGTGGCGGTGGGAGCGGAGGTGGCGGCGGTGGAGGAGGCGGCGGCGGAGGAGGTGGAGCTGGTCGGGGTGGCGCTGCGCAGAGGGTCGGCTCCGGTGGTGGTCAGCGCCAGCAGCAGCAGCAGCAGCAGCAGCAGCAGCAGCAGCGCACTCGTGACATCCCCCCCCCTCAGCAGCTCCGTGAGTGGTACGCTGCACGCCAGCTGGGTGGGGGTACTGGTCCGTGCACCTACGTCCTACGCACCGGCGACCGCGCGGGTGACCAGTGCGGGGGTGCGCACTCCACCCAGCGCTGCTTTGGCCGCCTGACGGACGCTTGGCGTCACCAGTTCCCTGAGGCCACTGAGATCCCCCGCTGGGGTGAGCTGTCTAGGGCGGGTGTCGCTGTCTTTGACCTTGACTTTGATGCTATTCTTGCTGCCATGTATACCGTGACTATTAGTGATGAGGGTGACTGTTACCGGTGTTTTCCGCCCGACCCGGGCATTGAGACTGCTGCTCTAGGTACTGGTGAGGCTGCTGCTCTAGGTGCTAGCGAGGCTGCTGCTCTAGGTGCGTCTGCTCCCTCAGGTGCTGGTGAGTCTGCTCTCTCAGGTTCTGCGTCGGCTTCGGCCTCCCACACCTTCACCCTTGACTCGGGGGCTTCTCGCTCCTTCTTTCGAGACCGCACCACACTCACGCCACTTGGCCGGCCAGTTGCGGTCTCTCTGGCAGACCCCTCTGGGGGTCCTGTCCTTGCTCACTTCTCCACTGTCCTCCCGTGTCCGGCGGCCCCCTCTGGCACCCTGTCTGGTCTTTACCTCCCCTCGTTCTCTACGAACTTGGTGAGTGGTGCTGACCTACAGGATGCGGGGGTTCACCAGTTCACTCCTGCGAGTCAGCGGGTGACCCACTGCACGGACGCTCGGACTGGCCGACACCTGGCCACGTTTACCCGTCGGCCGGGGTCGAGCCTGTACACCCTGACCACTGCGTCTCCTCCAGTCCCTGCGTCTGGTCAGGTAGCTGCGTCGGGTCAGGTGTTTGCTGCAGCGTCCAGGTCTGGTCCTGAG